GAACGCATCATTTTTTTTTTCTCAAATAAGGGTTTCTTTTCAAATGCATTTCGGTAAAATATTATTTGTGTGTAATTGCTGACCCTGTATTATTTGTGTGTGTATCGTTACGTAAATTTTTTCTGCATGGTTAAAATATTTATTGTTATCATGGTAAAATATCAATAGTGTATCCTCATGCTACAATATTTGTGCTGATAAGTGTTTATTAATTAAAGTGAAAATTATCTATCAGTATGCCCGACGATATTCCACCAGAGCCACAAATCACACGCGTTGCGGTGAAGCCACCGCCTTTCTGGAAAAATAATCCTTCATTGTGGTTCGCTCAGATCGAAGCACAATTTTCTATCGCTCGCATTAGTGAGGATTCTACAAAATTCAACCATGTAGTTGCAGCAATTGAGTCTGATATTCTGAATTCAGTGCATGACTTAATTCTCAAACCACCTGATTGTGATAAATACTCCAAACTGAAACAGCGGCTCATTGAAATCTATTCAGAAAGTGAATCTTCAAAAATACGTACTTTACTACAAGGACTTGAACTTGGAGATCAGCGACCTTCATACTTGCTGTCACGAATGCGTGATCTGGCAGGAAGCCATTTTAGTGACGACTTGTTGAAGCCACTATGGCTTTCGCGTCTCCCTAATAACATACAAATAATTCTTGCTGCTTCCAATGAAGATCTAACCTGTTTAGCAGCAATGGCTGACAAAATTAAGGAACTTGTTACTCCAGCTTATATCAGTGCTGCTAATGCTGCACCTTCCAGTTCATCCCTCGAACAACAAGTGGCTGAATTGACCAAAAAAGTATCTGAACTCTCTACAAGTCTTCATGCTTCACGGAGATACAATCGATCAAATCAGGGCCCACGTAATAAATTTCGTGTCGAAGCAGGAATCGATCTCGTCACAATACTCGAACGCAGTACAAAGAACCCACAAGTGGCATATGTTTTTATCATATGAATTTTGGCGTGTAAGCTCGCAAGTGTGCCTCTCCATGCACTTTTGAACAAGCGGGAAACTAAATGGGCGGTCTTCTGCTGGCCAACAGAATGTCCGCCACATCGACAGAATAGTACTGGCTGATCGTTCAACTCAGTTATGTTTTCTAGTAGATACTGGAGCTGACATATCAGTGCTCCCGAGAACTAAAACAAATGCTCACCAACTTAATAAACTTGTACTGTATGCAGCCAATGGTACCCAAATTGCAACCTACGGCACCAAACTATTGACACTTGATTTAAACTTGCGCCGGACTTTCAACTGGCCTTTTATTATTGCGGATGTAACTCAAGCAATTATTGGTGTCGACTTCTTGACACATTTCCACCTTCTAGTGGATGTCAAGAATAATTGCTTAATTGATGCTACAACTCAGCTGACATCACAGGGCCAAGCTTCTCACATATCAAACGTACCTACCAACATAAGTGTTTTATCGGGCAGCACACGGTTTCATCGGTTATTAGCAGAATTCCCTGACATTTTAAACCCATCCAAATCAGGGCAGCATACTCATCAGCCAGAAGTGTATCATCACATTGAAACACATGGCCCACCTGTATTTTCCAAGCCTCGTCGTCTTTCTCCAGAGATGCTAAAAGCTGCTCGCAAAGAATTTGAATTCATGCTAGCACAGGGAACCATTCGCCCATCTAAAAGTCCATGGGCCAGTCCACTTCACATGGTTAAAAAGTCTAATGGTGACTGGCGGCCTTGTGGAGATTATCGTCGACTTAATGCCGTCACAGTCCCTGACAGATATCCAGTCCCACATATCCAAGACTGTACCCATCTTTTTCATGGAACAAACATATTTTCTACCCTCGATCTTGCCAGAGCATATCATCAGATCCCAGTGCATGCTGAAGATGTGCCCAAGACCGCAGTGACTACAGCATTTGGTCTCTTTGAGTACTTATATATGCCATTTGGCCTTCGCAATGCTGGCGAAACATTTCAGCGTTTCATACACCAAGTACTGTCTGGTCTCGATTTCTGCATCCCATATTTTGATGATATCCTGGTTGCATCTACAGATGCGGAAGAACATTTTAAACATCTGCGTCAGATTTTCACTCGCCTTAAAGATCATGGATTAAAACTAAATCCATCCAAATGTGTACTTGGTCAACCCTCAGTTTCCTTTCTTGGATGTCTTATCACCCAGAACGGAGTTAAACCTTTACCGGAAAGAGTCAAAGCAATTAACGACCTACCTCAGCCCAAAACCATCTCTGAACTGAAGCGTTTTCTAGCAATGTTAAATTTCTACCGACGCTTTCTGCCAAATGCCGCAAAAACACAAGCCTGCCTACATGAGTTTCTGAAGAATAGCAAAAAAAAAAAAAAAAACGATCAACGAGCTGTCCCTTGGACTGAATCTGCATCTGCAGCATTCGTGCAATGCAAACACGATCTGGCAAATGCAGCCACACTTTCTTATCACTCACCTAGTGATCAGCTCTCTATAATGGTAGATGCATCTGACACGGCCATAGGAGCAGTGCTTCAAGCCCATACCACTAAAGGACTTTCCCCAATGGCATTCTTCTCCAGAAAACTTACTACTGCAGAAAGGAAATACAGCACATATGACAGAGAGCTACTTGCTGTGTACTGTGCTGTTAAATACTTCCGGCACAACTTGGAAGGACACGACTTCATCATTTTCACCGATCATCGACCATTAACCTTCGCTTTTAGAAAAAACTCTGACTCATGTTCTCCTCGTCAGCTTCGACATCTGGATTTCATCGCCCAGTTTAGTACAGATATCAGATATGTCTCTGGTACTGATAATTGTGTCGCTGATGCCTTGTCTCGGGTAAACAATATCAACCTCACTACCCCAGATTTCTCTGAAATTGCAAAAGCTCAATTGCATGATGAGGAACTCAAGAACCTAATCTCAAATCCACAAACCTCCCTTCAGTTACAACCGCTGCACATTGATCCAACGCTTAAAATTTACTGTGACATAGAGAACAATAGAATACGTCCCTATATTCCTGTCAATTTTAGACGTGAAGTGTTTAATGCCTTGCACAATTTGGCACATCCTGGAATCCGTGCCACCAAAAAGCTGATCGCAGACAGATTTGTCTGGCCAGCGATGAATCAAGACATCACAGAATGGACTCGTTCATGTATTAGATGTCAACGGTGTAAAGTATCCCGTCACACTCACAGCCCCATTCAACAATTTAACCTTCCAGCAAGACGCTTTGATCATGTACACTTAGACTTGGTTGGCCCATTGCCTCCTTCAAATGGTTACACTTACCTCCTCACTTGTATTGATCGGTACACAAGATGGCCTGAAGCCATTCCTATTGAAAATATATCCGCTGAAACTGTAGCTCGAGCATTCATCTCCCAGTGGCTTTCAAGATTTGGCATGCCTACCACCATCACTACTGACCAAGGCCGACAATTTCAATGTCACTTGTTCGCATCCCTCACCTCTCTTCTTGGCATTCGCCATATTCGCACAACACCATACCATCCATCTGGAAATGGGATGGTGGAACGCTTTCACCGATCTCTCAAACAAGGTCTGAAGTGCCACAGTAGCACACACTGGACAGAAGCCTTACCCCTAGTCTTGCTTGGTCTTCGCACAGCATTCAAAGAAGACATTGGTAGCACTTGTGCTGAAATGTTATATGGTGCAACCCTCCGTCTGCCAGGTGAATTCTTTCACCCAGAATCTACTCCAGTTATCGACCCTCCAACATTCCTTCAACGTTTACGTGAGACCATGAGCAATATCTCGCCAACCCCAGCATCTTCGCATAACCAGCCAAGCTATTTTGTACATCCTGCGCTTGAGACATCTTCGCACGTATTCGTGCGCAACGATGCAATTAAGCCAACTTTAACACCTTCATATGATGGTCCATTCAAAGTTGTCAAACGAACACCGAAACATTTCACCATCATCTGCAATGGCAAACAATCAGTGATTGGAATCGATCGTCTCAAACCAGCATTTCTAATGCAAGATCCAACAACTTCCTCATCAACATCACTCCCGGAAGAAAGCTTACATCCCGTTAAAGAGCAACCTAAAACTACCAGATCTGGAAGAAAGGTTAAATTTAACCCAAAGTACTTATAACGTACCGATGGTACTTGGGGGGGGGGGGAGTACTGTGGCGTTCCGACAGATACTTCAACTTCTATTCATGAGATGGCGCCACGTGTAAAATCCAGTTCTTAATCGGAGCAGCAGCAAAGCGACATCTTTACTCACTCAGACTTCTCGTCACACAAGGTACGCGACGGTAGCATGAACTGTGTTCCGAGCTCTGTGTTGATCTCTGCAATGTAATTTAAATTGTAATTTAGTACTTAATATATTCTTTTGTTATAGGAGATTGTCTACTCTTATTTCTTTAATTATATCATGCATTAAGCACACACGACCCAATAACTCCGTACCAATGTAAATTTAACATAAAAGGACTATAAGTACACACACACACACACACACACACACGCACCCCCTCCCAAAAAAGTATATACACATTTATGTAAAAACTCAGTAGTGAATCACTTAAGATTAGTAATGAAGTTATATTTTGTATAGCATGATGACTTCCAAATGGAATTAATAATGAAGCCATGTCATAAGTAGTCTCACTTCCACAAAACATCTGAAAAGGATAATTTTGCAACCAAAGGGAAGTGTTTTTGTTCCCACCATTTTTATAGTTGGGAGGGAAGGCTCTTTAGTTTGATAGCTGAGCATAAAATATTTTCTATTATATTCTTCTGCTTATATATTTGACTATATATTTAAAACGTTGGCTGATTCCTTAAATGTTGTTATCAAACTTCCATATCCAGAAATTTTAAAATATATATATATTTAAAATATAAATAATATATTCATGAATATAAGCAGGTTTTCTTTATATATATCTGTTACATCTTTGGGGAAAAAAAAGTAATTTTTTTTTAATCTCAAAATTTTAGGGCAGTGGCAATAATAGCAGTAATAGCTCTTCAGAAGATATTGATGACTGGGATAAAGTTGTTTTCAAAAACTATTTTGATGAAAGCATATGGTCTAACAAAAGTAAGAATTTTTTTTATTTATTTGTGTGTCTGTAAATTGTAACTGGTTCATTTGTTTAACAGATTAATGACATGGGTTATCATTTTGCAGAAAGCTTTGTTGAGCATCCGTTATTTGATATAATTTCATAATTCTGCCAAGGTGGTGGTCTGTCATCTTAGATATGAGAATGCATTTTTAATTCAGTAAAGAAATTTTCTTGTATTCCTTAAGCTGTATGTAGAATTTGCAGAATAAATGAATGCATTCATGTTTGAAATTTGTTCCACTGCATTCCATTCACCGCTGTTACACTGGGCCTAGCCTGCGTGAATTTGCAGGCTTTTTGCCAGTTGTCTTTAAATATGGCATCCTAGAAGTAAAAATATCAGTAAAGGTATCACAGAGAAGATATGAAGGATAAAGAGAAAGGTGGCACTTCGCCACTGCAGAGTTTTATATCGTGGGGAAGTGTAACATAAACATTCAAATACAAGTTGAGTATGCAAAGATAAAGAAATTACTAAACATAAGTCAGCAAAACATAGTTCTTCAAGTGAAAGTACTGATTAATGAGTCTTGATTAAATATTAGATATACAGTATTTACAATATTTACATAGACAATAATAGTCTAATGTAGAACCATGTCATGTGATGGCTAAGAGTTCATGCCATAGGCTAGGGCAGAAAACATATAAAAAACATGTTTTTAAAATTATCTGCCATGTAGAAATATGAAAACTTATTTTTCATGTATTGGTAATAGTCCTGGTAAGTGAATACCACAATAATTTTACATATATTGTTCGTAAAAGTGTTGTGATATCCAAAATTTATGAGCGGTAGGCGGAGCTTAGTATTTAAAGTTCATCAGCCTTAGGCTCGCCCAGATGACAGGAGCTAATGCATGTAGATGTATTTTAAATGCAAAAGAAGGTATTCATACTTGAAATATTTCATCAGAGATTAAACAGCAATAAATATTTACAGGTATATACAAAGGAAAACACAGCATGGCTTGCAAATGCTAAATGAGCAGCGGAGAGATGACGAAAACATGAAGTCCATAGTCACGTGGGAGGTCATCCTCCCGGGCTGTGGCTTCAGTGAATGCTGCTTGGTTTTGATAGTACGATTTACGTTGGGTGTTTTTCGTCAGAATTTATAGAGAAAAAGCTGCGAAAGGTCACAGATATTGATCTTCTTTGAGGATGATATAGTTGAAGATCTGGAAATAATTTAGGGGTTCGCAATCGAGAGCTTTATGGTAGAAGTTTTCGTTGCTCCTATGAAGGTATTCACTCAAGGGTTCAATTCGGAGATCATTGTGAAGAACAGAGTTCCTTACGTAGTAAGGAGCATTTATAGCAATACGGAGAAATTTGTTTTGAACCTGAAGCTTGTTGATGTCGGTTGGCTTGGCCGCATACCCGGCAGATGAGGTGTAGGTGAGAATATGTCGTACAGTAGTAAGGTAAATGAGTCGCTTTTGTTGAGATCAAGATTTGAAATTTTTTCCCAGTATGGGTAGGAGGCAGTTAATTACTCTTAGTGCTTGTTTTCTAATATTACTAATATCCTGGGTCCAGGTAAGTTTGACTTTAATTGTGATGCCAAGGTACTTTGCCTGTCACACAATGGGAACTGGTTCGTTGAAGAACTGCAAGTTATTCATAACAGGGCGATTTCGTTTTTTCCTTCTACTCAGGAAGAATTGTGATTTGCTAGCATTTATTTTAATCTTTCATGTACTGCACCAGGTTTCAATTTTTGGGGTGAAATTCTGGAGGACTTTGATTGAGTGATTGATGTTAGCAGATTTCACAACAATTGCTGTGTCATCTGCGTAGCAGGCCAGGATGGAACTTGAGGACTCAATTTTATTGAAATCAGCTGCATAAAAGAGATACATGACAGGTCCAAGAGCACATCCCTGTGGGATGCCACTTTTGATACTCCTTTCAGCAGAAAAGGTGTTTACGTATACTTTAATGTCCTTTGGGTAATGAAGGAGTAGAGTATATGGAGAATTTCAGTTTCAAAGTTAAATTTCATGAGCTTGATGATTAAACCTTCATGCCAGACACTGTCGAAGGCTTTCGCCACATCTAACATGAGGATAGCCACATTTAATCTATTGTGCATCGCCGAACCAGCAAACTCTTGTGAGGATGATTCTTTCAAAAATTTTACTGAGAACACGGAGCAGCCTTAATAGGTCTGTATCCGTCTGTTTGAGTATGATTGTTCCCTGGTTTCGGGATCATGATAATCTTTGCTGTCTTCCATGCAGTATGGAAGTAGCAGTTGGTAAGTGCTGCGTTAAAAATGCTGGTAATTTGACAGATGAAATTAGCTGGCAAGAAAGAATTTGATAGATTTATTTGTGATTCCATCAATTCCAGGGGCTTTTCTGGGTTTGAGCTTTTTAATGATAATGGAGACTTCTGCTGGAGAGCAAGTGGGATCAGATTCTTGATAGTTCTTTCTTGGGAGAATTAAGCCAATCTTGAATTTTAGTAAGGAAAGCTTGTTCAAAATCCTCCAAATATGAGGCGAAAGAATCAGCTTTTTCCTGGTTCGTGATAGCTGGGTTCCCATTATGAATAATAGGTCTATTTGTAGCGTAAGAATTTAAAAAATTTTTAACTATTTTCCATAGAGAACCATCCTGTGCATTAAGATTGGTGAGTACGTGCTGGATTTTTATACAAGCAGCATTGTTACAATGGAATTGCGATCCATTTTGTTTTCAGGTTTAACTCTGAAAACCATTGTTATGTATCGTTTTTAATCAATTTATTCAGTGTAATGTAAAAAAAAATTAAATGAGAGAAAAAGTTTTATAATGAATTGAAATGCTTAAATTATTATTTCAAAATAAAATAATTTGTATGTTTGGGTTAACATAGCAAGACTTCATTTCAATAAAATGAAAAAAATGATGAACTTAATTATTTTACACATTTAAATAATATGAAAAAATACTGAACTTAATATTCATTATTTCATAATATTATATTTCACTAGAAAGTTAACTGACACAGCATAAAACTACATTGTCAGCCACATGTCATATATTCGCTTTTTTTTTTTTTTAAATCAAAAATCTGTAAGCAGGCCAAATTTAAAAGCTGGATATGATGAGGTGATTGAAAGACTCTTGCTTCCACACCATGTTTTTGGGTGCAGTGAAAGTCAGATAATCGAGCATCTGATGGTTTAGCACATATGATTACTTGGCATTCTTTTCCCCGACACTTCTACCACAGAACATTGCTATTAGCATTTCATATGGAAATTTTCAGAAAAGCTTTGCAGTTACTTTTAATTTGTTCTCCATTTTCACAAAATCCTTTGGAATGTGCAATATTTTTTTTTTTTTTTTTTTCTTTCTCTCTCTCTCTTATTTATATATATATATTATTTTTTTTTTGATTCATTTAGTATTTAGAAATATACTGATTTATTTAATACATGAAATGTTGAAAATATGTGTGTACAGAAAGGAAACATATTAAGATGAAATCTCGAAAGTATAATATAAAACGGTTTCCTGCTTTAAGCTTATTATTATTGTCGCAGCTTTTGATGAAGTTTAATTGTTGCCACAGTATTTTGTTTTAAACTTTCATATTTGTGGTATTCCAAGTTTGTATGCATTATAATGTTTTCAAGATTTCACTGAATTATTGATACTGTGTTGTTCCTAGTATATTCCAAGCTTTCCTCATTAGAATATTTTCAAGATTAGGGGAAAATCTTGATATGAAAAAAAGGGGGGGAAATGTATTTACCATTTTGCCAAAAGTGTCAAGTGATTATATCGCAATGCAAAGGTGTTAAATGCACACAGAAAGGATAGTTACAAAGAAGTATAAGATTTAGCCAAGATCACTTTGGCATGAGATGGTGAAGCATTTGTGTAATTCACTGAGTGGGGGGGACAGAAATCATAATACTAGAGAAATAATAAATATTTATATTCCACAGCATTTTTTTAAATACTAAAATACGTGGAGCAGATGGAATTTAAGAATGGTTTAAACTTATTTATGAAGATTTCATGCACAGGCAATAAAATTAATTTCAGAAGAAAGGAACTGCTGAAAAATAATTTAACTGTAAATACATTAATTTGCTACTGGCTAATAAAGTATGCTTGCAGAATTAGCATTTTTTTTATTCATCAGTACATTCAGTAATGTGAAAAGGGGATTTTCTTACAGCATTATACAATTTTAGTTAGAAAATCTGTCAGATTGAGAAATCTGACATCTCTGAAGCCCAGAAATTGCTGAATTTTTCAGTTTTTACTGTAGTTTATTGCATAATATTAATATGTAATATTTTTATGTAAATGTGGAATATCTGGATTTTAATTTCGAATCAAAGTAATTTTAATAAACATTTTCAGTTTCAAAATTTATGAAAAGTGTGCAGTTTTGTAAAATAGTGAATTTAGTTGTATCTTTCATTAAATTATTAGCTTAATTATATTTACGCAAAGAAAAAGGTTTGTTTTACAGCGTTTTGTGTGGTTGTGTGTAGTGAATTATGTATATAGAGAAGAAGTGTGTTTAATAGTATCTCATGCCAAAATTATCTTTATGTGCAGGAAATAATGAATTTCTAGGAAACTGAGAGCTATAATTTCATATGTATTTGTGTGGAATCTAACATAACATCACATGAATACAGAGGGAAAAAAATAGACCATTGCATATGATAAAACAATAAAAACACAACGATAAAACAATAAAACGGTAATAATACATTAGGAAAGTTCAGGGGAAAAAAATTAAGGATTATGAGTTCAATATGGAATACATTACTAATCACAGTTTGGAGAATTAAGTTCCAATTCAGCCAGCAGTATGGCCATCAGGGTATTTACATCTTTAGGAGGAGGATGTCATCTGTGCTACTACTTTCCAATTTCCGTAAGTTCTCTTTTCAGGTTAAGGTAGGGGATTTTGCTGTTTGCATTGTTTCGCTCAAGATCTTCAATTTTAAGGA